AAGAATGATATGCGAATGTGAAAAAGGAGGCCCTTCCTTTGGGTGTACAGAGCACAATGCCTGGCTCTCAGCTCTTATTGACCCTTACTAGGTACACCCGGCACAGCTCAGAACAGAAGCCTGGCTCCTCACCTGCTCCCAGTCTCCAATCTTCCCTGCCCAAATCCTCCTCAAGCCCATGCACCACACTGCTACCACTTTTCTTGAACTTGAAATTGAAAGTATAATTCACCTTTTCAACACCCCTCAATACTTCTCTACTGGCCATTAAATAAAATCTGAACTCCTTAGCTAGGCATACATGGTCATCTTGCTCCTTGCCTGTTATCCAGTATGTTGAATGACTAAAGGAGAGAAGGCAAAACAAAACAACGACAACAAAACCCCACTAAAGACAGAATGCACTAGTGAATTCCAGGGCAGAAGCTGAAAATTAAACAAGAGATGTTGGAGGAGAGAGACTATGACTCTGGAGGGAGACAACAACAAATTTGAGTGCAGCCTCTGGCTTGGCTCTGAGCTACAGGAGTAAGTCTGTTAGATAGCATTCCCAATTGCGTGCATTATTTTCTCCTGTATATATCTCCCCTACCAGGACTAGAAATTTTTGTTGTTGTTTTTGTTCTTTGAGATGGAGTCTCACTCTGTCACCTAGGCTGGAGTGCAGTGGTGTGATCTTGGCTCACTGCAACCTCCACCACCCAAGTTCAAGCGATTATCCTGCCTCAGCCTCCTGAGTAGCTGGGATTACAGGTGCCCGCCACCACGCCCAGCTAATTTTTGTATTTTTAGTAGAGACGGGGTTTCACCATGTTGGCCAGGCTGGTCTCGAACTCCTGACCTCAGGTGATCCACCTGCCTCAGCCTCCCAAAGTGCTGGGATTACAGATGTGAGCCACCTCACCCAGCCTAGGGCTCAAAGATTTTACAGTCATTTCTGACTATCCCTTTCCCCATATTCCTATCACATTGGCCAGTCAAGCCCACCCTTTCACAGTCTCTTTACTCCCTCCTTAGTCCTCATTCTTGCTGCCTTGGGAATCTAATCCTCACTGCCTCATATTTACAATACTGGATGCATATCCTACATGGCCACTCATTCAACAGCATGGCCCTGTGCTAGATGCTGGAGACACAGATATGAATGACACAAGACCTCCAGCCTGACCTCCCTACCTTTGCGGGGACAATCTTGCCTACTTTTAGCAAGTTAGTCTCCTGCTCAGGGACTTCTAAAGGCACCCTGATGCCTACCCAATCAATTCTAAATTCATACGTTGCTTTATTTTAATCACTCAACAAGTACTACTAAAGGCTTACTGTGTGCCAGCCAACCACATATAAGGCAGTGGTCAAAACAGGCACCGGCCCTACCCTTAAGGAACTTACTATCTAGTGGGGAAGACAGACATAAAAGCCATAATCACAGAAATAATGAAAATAGGGCTGAGCGCAGTGGCTCACGCCTGTAATCCTAACACTTTGGGATTTTATTATTGAGTTATAAGGGCTTGCAATTTGGCTCTTGGTTGGTGTAAAATAGTCGTCCGGAACAGAATTAGTATTTGAGGTACCTGAGACCCAGAGATTTGGTGATGACTCAAGTGTTAAGTGACTAAATAACTTTTTTTTTTGTTGAGACGGAGTCTCGCTCTGTGGCCCAGGCTGGAGTGCAGAGGCTGAGGCGGATGGATCATGAGGTCAGGAGATCGAGACCATCCTGGCTAACACGGTGAAACCCTGTCTCTACTAAAAACACAAAAATTAGCTGGGCGTGGTGGCACGCGCCTGTAGTCCCAGCTACTCCGGAGGCTGAGGCAGGAGAATTACTTGAACCCAGGAGGCAGAGTTTGCAGTGAGCCAAGATAGCATCACTGCACTCCAGCCTGGGCACCAGAGAGAGAATCCATCTCAAAAAAAAAAAAAAAAAAACCACGCAAAGAAATAATAATGAAAATAGAATAATTATATAATTATTATTCTTTAATGATAGTCGTAATATGAATGTCAAGGGGTGCCACAAGAATGTATAAACAAGAGATCTAATCTAAACCAAAAAGTAAGATAAGGCCAGAGATATGAGTAGAAGTCCAGGTTTAGGTGTGTGTTGGGATTACAGGTGTTCTCACTCAGGAAAAGGGCACAGCTCATTCAAAAGTTATTTAGTTAGCGGAGCGGCGGTTCGCGCCTGTAATCCCAGCACTTTGGGAGGCGGAGGCGGGCGGATCACGAGGTCAGGAGATCGAGACCACCGTGAAACCCCGTCTCTACTAAAAATACAAAAAATTAGCCGTGTGCGGTGGCGGGCGCCTGTAGTTCCAGCTACTCGGGAGGCTGAGGCAGGAGAATGGCGTGAATCCGGGAGGCGGAGCTTGCAGTGAGCCGAGATGGCGCCGCCGCACTCCAGCCTGGGCCACAGAGCGAGACTCCGTCTCAACAAAAAAAAAAGTTATTTAGTCACTTAACACTTGAGTCATCACCAAATCTCTGGGTCTCAGGTACCTCAAATACTAATTCTGTTCCCGATGACTATTTTACACCAACCAAGAGCCAAATTGCAAGCCCTTATAACTCAATAATAAAAAGATAAATAACTCAATTAAAAATGGGCAAATCATCAGAATATTCGTTTCTCCAAAGATCTACAAATCACCAATAAACACATGAAAGCATTATCATTATCGCTAGGGAAATGCAAATCAAAACCACACTGAGATACCACTTTACACCCACTAGAGTGGTTATATTTTTTTTAATGCAATATAACAAGTATTGGTGAGGATGTGGAGAAATTAGAAGCCACATACACTGCTGGTGGCAGTGTGAAATGTAAAATGAATGCAGCCACCGTGGAAAACAGTTTGGCAGTTTCCCCCTAGATTAACCGTAGGGTTACTATACAATCCAGCAATTCCATTCCTAGGTATATACCTAAGAGAACTAAAAACATGTGCTCGTACAAAAATTTGCACATGAATGTTTACAGCAGGATTATTCATAAGTTAAAAAATGGAAACCATCCAAATGTCTATTAAATGATGGATAAATAAAATGTGATATATCCATACAATTGAATATAACTTGACAATGAAAAAGAATGAAATAGTAGTACATTTTACAACATGGTTGAACCGTGAAAAGGTATGCTAAGGAAGCCAGTTACAAAAGATATGTATTATATGATTCCACTCATATAAAATATCCTGAATAGGTTAATCTATTGAGAAAGAAAGATTTGTGATTGCCTAAGACTGGGAGGGTTGTGAGGAGTGGAGAGGAGGAGGGATGCAAAATGATTATTAATGAGTGTTTCTTTTCTTAATGTGACGAGACTGTTCTAAAATTGTGGTGATGGTTGCACAATTCTGTGAATAAAAGCCATTTGAATTGTACACTTTAAATAAGGGAATTGCATACTAGGTGAGTTATAGCTCAATAAAGCTGTTTTTAAAAAAAAAAAAAAACAAAAAAAAAACAGGAGTTGGGGATATGGGGTTGAGGCAGGAGGATCACTTGAGATTGGGAGGCAGGCGGAGATTGCAATGAGCCAGGGCACTCTAGCCTGGGCGATAGAGCGAGACTGTCTCAAAATAAATAAATAAATAAATAAATAATAAAATAAAATGGCCCTTTACCAGTATCAAAGTGCCTCATCAGCCAGGTACCACCTTTTCAATGGATGAGGAGACTGAAGTGTAGAGGAATTAAGTATCCGACTTGGGGGTTGGGGGCAGTGGCTCACGCCTGTAAATCCCAACACTTTGCGAGGCCGAGGTGGGAGGATGGCTTGAGTCCAGGAGTTCCAGACCAGCCTGGCCAATATGGTGAAACTCCGTCTCTATAAAAAATACAAAAAATTAGCCTGGTGTGGTGGCGGGTGCCTGTTATTCCAGCTGCTCCAGAGGTTGAGGCAGGAGAATCACTTGAACCCAGGAGGCGGATGTTGCGGTGAGCCGAGATCGTGCCGTTGCACTCCAGTCTGAGCGACAAAGCGAGACTCCGTCTCAAAAAAAAAAGTATCCAACTTGGGCTTTGGCTCTTCTCACTATAATCCAACATATTCTCTTACATAATGGCAGAATTAATGTTCCCTCCTTGTGACACCCCTGTAGTTGTACATGCCTCTAGCACTTACAGTTTGTAATTGTGTTTAACGGTTCTAGCATATTATTTCTTAACTTCAGAATAGATATTGTGTCTGATTCCTGTGTATCACGATCTTACCTTTTTTAATTTTTTTTTTTTTTAACGGGAGTCTCGCTCTGTCGCCCAGGCTGCAGTGCAGTGGCGCGATTTCGGCTCACTGCAACCTCCGCCTCCCGGGTTCAAGCGATTCTCCTGCCTCAGCCTCCTGAGTGGCTGGGATTACAGGCATGCGCCGCCACTCCTGGCTAATTTTTTTTGTATCTTTAGTAGAGACGGGGTTTCACCATATTGGCCAGGCTGGTCTGGCACTCCTGACCTTGTGATCCGCCCACCTAGGCCTCTCAAAGTGCTGGGATTACAGGCGTGAGCCACCACGCCCGGCCGATCTGACCTTTTTTAAACGAAGACGTATGCAGGAAGGAAATATCTACAAGTAAGACAAAATGAAGAACCCAGTGTACGAACATTCACTTCTCTAACAAAGAAAAGACACAAAACGAGAAACTAATAAGGCGGAGAAAGGTATTGAGATTGGGGAAAACAGCATCTCCTCCCTCCCTGCAATGTCGACAGGTTCCCTGGAAAGTTCTAGAAGGGATTCAGAAGTGACTGGTGACATCACCGTGGCCCCGTGGCGCCCACCACAGCGGCCAACTGACACGGCAGCTTTCCCGCCTCATAGAGGCCCGGGAACGGGGGTGGGGCCCTGCGAGGGGCGGGGTCACGTCACTTCCTGTGCGGGACGCGCTACTGCTGGAGAGGAAAGGCAGAGGGAGGAGGGGCGAGGCCAAGAAAGCGCGCGTTTCTGGGAGGGGAGGAGCCTGGCTAAGGAGGGCCGCGTCACATCCGGTAGAGTTAGAGCCCGTGCGGAGGCGGTGCGGAGCGGTTCGGCTCTGAGCTGCTGGGCGACCGGCGCGTCGTGCGGGGCTGCGGCGGAGCCTCCTTAAAGAAGGTGCAAGAGGTTGGCAGCTTCGATTGAAGCACATCGACCGGCGACAGCAGCCAGGAGTCATGAGCGACAGCGGCGAGCAGAACTACGGCGAGCGGGTACGTAGAGCTGCTGTAGGGGGCGGCTGTGTGGTCCTAGCTCCTTGCATCTTTTTCTAGGCCCATCAGCCTCGGGCCAGGAGGCAGAGGCGTTTTAGGCTCCGAAGTCTGAAGCCGGGAGGGCAGGCAAGGGAGACAGCTTTTAACCAAAAAAAGCCCTTGTGGATAGTGGCTTAGTGCCGTTGGTCGTGAAGGAGGGAGGCCACCGGCGGGTTTATGTGGCTTCTGCCTGAGACGGCCGTTTTTCCCGTTATAAGCGGGGGAAGACGAAAATGGCCGCTGCGTCCCCGCGGTGTTGGGGGAGGGGAACGATATCTTATTTCGGCGTTGCTCTCCTGCGAAGGTCCGCCGCAGCCATCTTGGGCTGGCGGGCTGGGCGCGCTGCCAGAGGCACAAAATGGCGGAGGAGCCGCGCGGCAACGCGGGCTCGACCCGCCGCGGGCCGCGCTTCATAAGGTCGCGTGGTGGGGTGGAATGAGACAGACGACGTTCTTTGGGGTCTTTGGGCAGGTGTTTAAGTTAACGAAGGACCGTCTTTGCCTCCACGGAAAGGACGGAGTCTGGGATGTCCTTGGGGCCTCTTAAGATGAAAGCTAATCTGAGGCCGACTAAGTTTGGGCCCGTTAGGTGGAGGGGATTGCGTGAGGGCTTTGTGTTTGGCCTAAATGAAGCGCTTTTCTCTGATAAAGGGCTTCCCAGGCAAAAGTCTGTATCAGTATTCTGTTAGGACAGACCACAAAATCGCTAAGATGATTTTGTGGACATCGCTTTTCCACGGGATTGTGAAGGAGAAATTGGCGGGCAACAATTTACGGCGCCGTTATTTCCTTTGTTTTGAGGCGTTCTAATACTTAGAACCACAGCGTGTGTTGGGTACACTTTTCCTTCCCTTAAGTTTCCACCTTTTAAAGGTGTTTAGTGAGGGTTAAACTGAATTGCAGGAACAAGACAGTTCTAGGATTTAAGAAGCATACGTAGCTGGTCTGTGAGGCTCTGGGTATTAGATTCGGAAAGCATTGAATGGTGCGAAGATACGAGGCTTGCTAGAATTAAGAGAAATCTGTTAGAAGGGTAATAGCAAAGCACCATAGAAATTGATTTTTGAGGCTGTTACGGGAATAATTTGTGCTTTAAAAAAAAATTGTTACCTAAGTTTCCCCTTGTTGGTAGAGCTACCTTAAGATCTGAATATGATTTATCAGGTAAATAAGATTATTAAATGTCTTAGCAAACTTTTGATTAAGATTTTAGATGATTCGTTAGAGTATTTTAGGAAGAAACTTTCAGTGATGAAGCGTGGGTTTCCTGTGTAATTTTGGAGCCCAAACTGCTTAATTTGGTTTGAGCTAATCAAGCCTTGCGTTTACATATTCGGAAGAGCATAGAGTTTTTAGTTTTTTATGTTTTTCCCTGAGCTGACTGACTGCAACGTCACGAGTGTTACAGATTTTTTTAAGTTCTTGCTTTCTTGGGTAACAAAGTTGGGATTGAGCTCAAAAGTTGTTAAAAAGTCGTGACTTCTGTTCTTTGGCAGTTGAATCTGTTAAAACTAGTCATAAAGTCTTTTGTTATTAAACAGAACAATTACTGAGTACTTTTGTACTCCTTCGGAAATACAAAATGACTGGCTTCTGACTAAAGGAGCTCTCGGTTGAATACACGTGAAGAAAGCTTGAGAATGGAAAATTGCCCAAAGAGTTCATTAGTATATTTTACATGAGAAAGGAAACAATTGAAACTGGGTTCCAGTTTGAGACTCGGGTCGAGAAAATTTGAAATTTTCTGATTGGTTATCTTTTTACTAGTAAAAGTACATTGTGTTTTTCACAGTCTTTGAATTGTGAGAGGGAGGTTAACTTAATGTGATAAAAATTGAAATTATTTTATTACGTGAGTCTTCGCTTTCTGGCCGAGATCTCTAAACTTAAAAGTTGTGAAGTACTTCCATATTGTTGTGTTTGGTGTTTGTGTGTTTGTGTTCCAATTGGAACCTTTAAGGGTTGGAATACACCTGAATCAAACACGTGTCCAAGCTTCCAAAGCAAGCTTGGGAAAACCATAAAGCTCAGTGGAACAGTTTAATCTTAGACATGCCTGTATGATGCTTCTCTGGAGCCAGAAAAATGAGTGTCATTCAACTCCAGGCTTCTGGACTGGGTCTTAATGTAAATCACTAATCTCTTCAAATCAGTGAGATTCTCCCTTATTTATCTGTCTCTAATCCAAGACAGTACCACCCCTCTGTGCCCCACCTTTTCCAGTGACTAGGAGTTTGTTGTTGTGTCCCTCCCCTATAAGGTTGGGTGTGTGGGATAAATTATTCTCAGTTTGGTTACTCAGTAGAATATATTTGGGTGGATATAATAACATTTAAAGAACTGGTGTGTCCCTCATCCCTTGTTGGTCTGTGGGATTTATTCCCCCATCTCAAAGGTAATAGATTTACACTAAAATCTGTCTATAGGGGTCTAATTAGCAGACTTAACCTGATCTAGCCAAACCACTTTCAAAAGTAAGATCTCATTTTCATCTCCAGATTCAAGCCTCTTCCCCCCAAATTGCTTGCATTTTGTAAAGGGGTTGACTAGCACCCTTTCTTTGCAAAGAGAGGCACTCCTAGCCGTTAAGTCACAATTACAAGAACTTAAATAAAAAGTTGATAGTAAGTTTAGAAGTGCAGGGTAATCTTTAGAGCCCAATAGTGGTCACAGCGTGTAGGGTGTGTGAGATTTGTATGTTGGTCTGGCACTCGGTGTAATGTTCTGACCCCCTCAACATTGTAACGAGTTTCTGTGAGTGTTTACTAAAGGAATCCAAAAACTAAGGAGATACTGATGTATGCACTAGATGTTAAAGAAAATGTTTTGACCCAGCAGATACTCTGATAGAATACTGGCTATTAATTTTTGTAGAACCGATGTGTTTGCAACATAGGCACATTATCTTTATCATTAGAGATGAATAGCAGCATCTGGACACCAACCCATCAAACTGCCTTTCAAATTCTGCAGTTTTTCTCTTCTTCTGCTTAATCTTGGGATATCTTTTTGTATTCCTTGGTTTTAGCTCCTGAACTCTAAATTCTAATTTTCAAAACATCTCTGAATCTACTTCTTTCTAAAGAATTGTAGCCATCTCACCAAATTCCTTTAAAGGATTGAACTGTCAAATAGGAAATTGTATTGTTGTGAGTCTGGTTAGGTTTATCAGTCTCTTGAAACCAGGTTGAAATATTTTTTTTTCTTGGTTTTAAACAAGAATGCTTTAATATTGTGGATATTGTCTGGAACTAGAACGTGACATTTTCAAGCTGACATTACAAGTGATTTTATAAGGTAAGTACCACTGGTTTTGCCAAAAGGTTGAAGAGGAATTTAGGTGGTGGGGGAAGTGTTAATGGGATTTGCCTTGCACAGCCTTTTTTCCTTCTTTCTCTACAACGAAACTCAAATCTAGGTGGTAAACATTAATGCTTTCATAGTTATTTTGCCCAGGACTAGGACAGAGCTACAGTTGTGTATATTTATTGAGCCTTAGCGTTATGTTTTATGTTGATTAGTGTTTTTACATATGCGACTGTTAACAAGGCATGGTGACTGATGTTTGGAATTTTAAGTGTTTTGACCCATGTTAGTATTTGGGGGTGTGGGATATGTAGAATTAGATATTGAAATCACTTAGTATTGTTTTTAAACTGCAAGCCAAAGCAAGTTCTTCACCATAGCAAATTACAGTCTTGAAATTCCCCCAAAATCTCTGCTTTGAATTGGGTTTTGGAGGTTACACTGAGATTGATGTTATCAACGTAGATTGTTATGTGACAGTTTGGATGAGGGGCCCCTTTTTCTCTTTAATTTTTGTGGTTAGAAATTAGGTTAAAAGGCAGTCTTCTGAAAAGTCAAAAGATACTTAATACTTTTGTTGGGGAGTACTGAATGTTTTATGAATGTAAATTTAAGAGTCTGTGCTATATTTGCAAGAGAGTTTTTGTAAGCACGGGCCTACAACTAATTTCAGGTGATGGTTTTTTCCAGACACTATTCTCCAGTTTTTGAGGATTTTATCTATCCATTCACCCTTCTGGTAGACATTTTGTCCTTAATATATTGATATGAGCATTGACCTTTCCATAACAGGATTAATTAGTTTTTCTTTGCCCCATCCCTCCCAATTTTTAAAATACTGCCTTGTCGCTTAACTTAATGAGTTTGTGCATGTTTAATGTTAAATGGATTCCAGTTGTATCCCCTAGAAACATTTTAACAAAAATGTGTTGATAGGACAAGTTTCTGTTTATTTCTAACTAGGATCTCTTAACTAAATGTATATAACATTAGCCCAATAGTTGGTCTTCTGGTTTTATAAAGTAGCCACTCGAACTTAGCTGAGTTGAAATAAATCTAATATTTATATTAATTTAGTAATGGTTTTGTTTTTAGACTATAAGAGAAGGAATCAGGTTAGGAAGGGGCAATGAAATAACAGCGGGAAGGTATCCATATTGGAAACAGTTGTGATAGCTACAGCTATGGCCTCTATTCCTGTATCTTCTGCATCTAAGTGCCCTATTTGTATCGAACTTTTAGGAGGCCCTAAGGAAACCTGCTTGGGCATTCTGATTCCACGATTACATTTGTGCTGCCAGAAAACATTTCCCATTGCATTTTAGTGATGGATATTTAAAGAAAACCAATTACTGTAACTCCCTTAAATAAAAATGTATTTTAAAATTTTTGGATTAAACAATAATTGACTTTAAAACTAGACTGGAAATTATCCTTTTGTTAGGAAAGACATCCCAGCACTTGCCAGGTTAACAATGGTTGTCTTTATGCCCAGATAGGTATAAAGACTTGCAATTTTTTTAACAAAGCCTTACATTTTTTTCAGGAGGAAAAACTAGGAGAGGAAATAATTGACAAATGAAAGATCATCAAGGTGAAATGTATGGTTTCAAAATAAATATGGAGGCAGTATTTATTTTATTTTGTTTATCGTGTTCAGACATTTAGACATCATCTAAATTCAATCTTTTTAATTATTTGAGGTGAGCTATAATTTTAATAGTGCCACCTTTTAAAGTAGTATTTCTCCTTTGGACACCCAGAAGACTTAATATTTTCTTCATTGAGGGGGAAAATGTACAACAAAACTCTGAAAATACCAGTGTTGGATTCAAGTTTGTTCTGCTTTCCTTCATAGCTACTGGCATATTGTAGGTGGTTGACTTGATTTTGTCTTTTTGTGATTCATACTATAAAATATCACTAGAGCAGCTTTTCCAGGGGGTGGGTTACACTTCAGTTCCAAATTGTCAGGTTCCTTGACACCGTCTTTCTACAGAACTCAAATACAGAACAAAAGTGTGTGACGCTAAATACGTTTCTTTATCCTACCTAGACAAGTCACAATACTGTAAACCTCTTCAACCCTGAGCCTTTGTCATCGTACAAATGAATTGTCCGTGCTTTCCTTTCTTGCACTTATGTATTAATGTGTCACTTTTTGACTAGAGGTGTGCTTTTGACACTTAACCTATTTTCTATTGAATATAATAAGAAGTGTGAAATGTAATAGTTCTTAAAATGTTAAATGAACAGTAAATGTTCAGTGGCGCACTTCACATTCAATTTAAGCATGATAAATCTATTTGGAGTAGAGAAATGAGATTGATTACCATATATTCTAGAACCAGCAGAAAACTATGTAGTTTCAGTTTTTTGAGCTGCATATTCTAGTTTCTTTTTTAATCCAAATCAACAAAGGGATTTTTTTTTCTAGTTTCAGTTTTGGCACTGGATTTTATCCTGGAGTTTTAAAATATTCTTCATCCTGTTCTTTTTCTATTAAGGTTAATGTTGAAGAAGGAAAATGCGGAAGTCGTCATTTGACAAGTTTTATAAATGAGTATTTGAAGCTCAGGAATAAGTGAAGCTGAAATTTGAAAAAATAAAAGAAAGAATGCATGCTAATTATCAGACCAGAAGTCCCACTTGTAGAATATTGAGCAATTTGTGTGAAGTGGGGAAGATGAAAGAAGTCAGAATTTGAAACGGAAGAATGAAGAAAAGAAATAAAAATGAAGTTAAGATAAGAAGTAATCTGGAATCAGAAAGCACTACGCTAAGTAATTACTAGTCTGTTTATGTGTCCCTGTATATTTTGCTAAACATGCATGCATTATTTGTTTAATAGAAGAAAATATATACAGGGTAAAGAAGTGCCTTCCAGGGGAAACGTTTAAATTAGGTAATTCTGATTTTAACTGCTTAGTCAAATGATTGAAATGCAATTTTTAAAAAACAATATTTAGTAGTCAAGCACCAGGCAGCAATGAGCTCTCCAGCATGGGTAACAGTGGGCTTCATGTTGTCCTCTCTAGATAAACATTTTACCTATCTAATGTTGCTGGTCCTGGGGCATGAGTGAATACCTCCAGGGTTGGAACTAGTGGTCTTTGCCACCTCCCTGGACTCTTAGATTGCACTGATCTCTTTCCTTCAGTACTGAGCAATGTGTAGTAGAATATTTTCTGTTAAACGATTTTCAAAAGAATGTCACCAAGATGGTTATGGAACCAAACCCCCAAAATCCAAACAAAGCATTGAATAAAATAGTTCTCTTTGGCATTAGTGTGTTAGTTTTTTCCATATGGCAGTAGTGGAAATCTATGAGCATTTGGGCCCTAAATTTAAGATGCATATTTGCTAAATACACAGGGATGGTTTTTCAAATTCTGTTTCTGTTTAATGCCTATTCCAGCTGATTGACTAGGGTTACTGATAAAATACAGTAGCTTCCCCTTAGAAGAGGTGGGTCACATGAGTGAACAGAATAGCTAATACAAATTGCAGTAGTGGCAGATGCTTTCATTCCTATTTCTCCTTTTCTGCTATCAACATTTAGTTACTGTGATATTAGAGGTCCAGGTTACAAAGTAGCTTTATTCTGGTTACCCATCCCTACCACTTACTGAGAAATTCAACCAAAAAGCTGTCTCTTCCTTTTCTGTGTGTTTTATTTTAGCTGAGTAGAAGGGTCAAGTGATTGTTGTAATGTTGTTACTCTCAGTTGGATGAGACAAGTACACATATCAAAATAATATCCAATAGTAGCCAGCCAACAGTTTTCTACCCAATTGAGAATGCCAAGGGTATCATCTCATACAGTTCTTCCTGAAATAAACTTTCTCTGAGAGTTGTCAGGTCTTCATGCTCTTGGAGAAAGTGACTTAAATGGCATTTCTTAGAGAATCCATTTTCTGATGCTTTCAGGCCTGTTTATTTCTGTATCTTGCAAGCAGAAGAAAATTTTCTCATAAGAAGTTTTGCGTTCCTTTGTCAAATTTCTTGCCATAGATAAACTAATGTTAACATAAATGTTACTTTTATGTTCCAAATTACTCAAAGAGCAGGCAGGAAGCTGAGGTAAAAGTGATGTGAACGAATATTACATTTTAATTCCAAGCCCATGGATTCTTTTATGAAGAAACCTGACAGGTCCTTGGGGTGCAAAAGAGGAAAATACCTCTTAACCCCCAGCCCACTAAAGGAAAGAAAGCAATTTGGAATCCGGTTATGACCCAAGCTGGATAGACTTAAGGTGAGAAAACATTGCTAGTGGACCATTGTGTCCATTTGTTTTTGTTTTCCCCCTTGACCAAAGCATCTGTGGGTCCTAGTATGTCTCCTCCTCGGACCATAGGGAAGATGAAGAGAAGGCCGGCTTCTGTTCCTAAGAACAGGCAGTGTGTGAAAGACCACCTTAAATCAGAGGTCTGATTAATGCTAGGGGGAGTCAAAGCAAGGAAGTCGGGATGACAGCGTTTCAGGAAGGTAACCTTTGCCAAGAGAAAAAAATCAGTAGGAAGCATGTAACTTCTGAAGTTGACTAAGTCAAGTAAGCCAGACTTAACTAGTATGATAAACACAGTGTTTTAAGAGATGCAGATGCCCAATTCCAGGCCACCTAAAAACAGACTCCAGTTCAGAGTTCTTGTATTTGAAAATGCTATAGACGTTTAGTGCATACCTGTGTTTATGAGCCACTGTTTTAAATCTAATAAACTATATTCAGTTTTTAAAATAATACAGGGATTGGATGGTGATTCCTTCTTTCAAATACGTTTTTGTAAGGTGGTTGCTGTTCTCAGAATAGGGAGATGTAGATTATTTTGTTGGAAGGCTAAGTGTGCTGTATTTTTACTTGATGTATTCCCTGCAGGTTTTGTGTTAGGATGTGGCTGAGATCCAGTCTGTGAGAGCTTGATTGATTCCCTGAGCATTTTTCAGGGAAATTTTGGCTTTATTCATGCTAATTTTCGGTTCATGGTCCCTTTTTGTGAGGCAGTGGTGTCCAGTTCTGTCTCTTGGTGTGGTTTTAATGTGTTGACCGTGTCAGCCCTAACAGTGGAATTTGAAGTATCCTTAGATTTAGGGGCTTCCTCAACTGGTTTTACAGATTTGCCTGTCTGCATTAATATTTAAAGTTAACATTATGCTTTCGATTTGGGTGCTAATTTTAGGTCTTATTTTTTGTAGACAAGCTTGCTTTATTCCCTTGCATATGTATTTCCCAGCCAGTTAAATGGCCAAAATAACTTCAGAAGGCTTTAACTTTTTTAAGAAAATATCCCTGATAAAGGTGGAGACGTTTAGGTGCTGTCCCAAACACGTGTCAGTATAGAAAAGGAAGCCTTTGCATTCTGGTATTTCCGTTATTCCTGGCCTAAGAAATGATTGCTTACAAAATGTATCTGTGTAGTCCGTTAGTTTTGGAGGCTGAGTGAAAACTGTGGTTTCCCAAATATTATATCTGTGATCTGCTGGAATTTAAGGAGAAAACTTCATTAAGTCTTATTTTCTAGGTTAGGAGTAGTATCTCTTCCCTCAGTGGACAGGCTGCTGAAGCATCTTAGCTTAGAATAAAAGCTTTTCTGTTAAATAAAGCCAGGAGCTTATTAAAGAGGACCTTGACTTGACCCATTCTTCCTTTATACTCAGATTCCTGGGCCGACTGATTTCTGTTAACTACAGTTACTTTATTGGTAGTCTTTTAACTTAATGTGAAACATCCATATTCTGCTTTCACTTCCATTGAGGTAATCTTTCTAGTGTTGGAGTAAATAGGCGTTTAGCAACTTTTGGGTTCCCCATTTCTATTTTCTCACCTGTATTAATTTTTGCCTGTGGTAAAAGTAGCAAAAACTACACCCTCATTTTTGAGTCTTCAGAATACTTGATAGGGAACTCCAAGGGATTATTTATTGGAATCCCCAGAGCATCACTACATCCTTTAACCATTTCTTGATGTTAAAGGCAGCTGTCCTCACTAATAAAGAAGGGTATCATTTTTCTTTTAATCTCTTTACAGTCACTCATGGAGGGAGGTAGAGAGGAAAGGCTGTCACGTTTCATGTCACCTCACCAATGTTTTATAATGGCCTTGAAGTCATTTGAACGTTTCTAGAGTCGTCTGGGCCTAAAGACCTGAACTCATTTTACTGGATGAGTTAGCCTTGCCTTCTCTGTTAAACCTGAAACCTTAATTTGTCTCTTCTGTGTTACATTATACATTTTTTCCCTGAGCATCAAAGGATCATCCAAATTTTCTCCATTATGCTGTAAACCACAAAACTATCTTCTAAAGTGTTTTGAGGTGTAATTTAAAATAATCCTCTATCTTCTATCCTTTCAAGAATGTCCAGAATACTCTGAAGATGTATCACACAAGGAAATCTCCTGTGATTAAATTTTATGTGGAAGCTTCACCTTTGATTCATGCCATATAGTGACTTATCGTAATACTGCTTCCTTTTGAGTCTTGCTATTTCTGCTCTCTTGAGTAGAAAGGCTCACCAGGCTTTACTTTGTCTAAGTTGGATAACCTAAAATAAAGGTTGCCTTATTTGGTAATTTTACCTATCAGACTGATGAGGAGTAAGTAGGTTCTGTTCCTTCCTCATCTGCTGTTTTGGTGCCTTGGCAGAACTTTTCCTTCATTTCATTACTTAATATACCTTTTGTTGATTAATTCTGACTATGTGTCTTTAACTCGTTGATGACCTAGTTGTCCTGGTTAGCCATTCCTTTGCTATTTTCATTACAGATCCCCCCCACCCCTTAACATGCCAGCCAATCCCAATTTTGACTGGGAAAGCTTTGGCTTTTGTATGTAGTTTCTATCCTCTTTCACTTCCTGGGCCCTAGATTAGGAGCTCCTGATTTAGCTGCCCTGGTTTTAATGTGTGCTTAAGTTAACTAGGTAAGTTAGGTTAATTCCTGGTTTCCCATAAGTTTGCCCTGGCTTATCTCCATTTAGCTGGAGAAACTGTGAAGGATCTCTGATATCTTCTCTACTCTTATTTGTGTGTAGTTCGCTGTTCTGTTGTAGCTCCATCTGGTTGCTTTCAGTTTTTTAGGGAGCCTCCCACCATGGTTAGATGCAATAGGGTTTTACAGGGTTTAGTGTCTTTCACGCTAGCCTTTGCTTTCCACTAGGTTTCTACCTTTCTCTAGGATTTGAAACTGAGATCATCATCTTTATCTCTTTTATCACTGAATTACAAATAATAACTTGAAAGGTCAAGGTCTATTTTTTTAAGTAAATTATATAAATTTTATAGGGTTTGTTTTATTGATTGCAACTTGATTGAAATAGGTATAAAGTATAGGTGTCATAGTTAATAAGGTTCCGTCTCACCCTAGTCTTTATGGAGTAACATTCTGAAACACAGTCCTTGGACAGTTCCCTTAACTGCTTGACTTTGGCACCCCTTTCTGAAGGAAGTGGGGTCAAATAATTCTTATCCCTGCTCCAAAAAGGTGGAAGAAAGGACAAGTTAATTGACTTATGTCATTTGGAGCAATGAAACTATAAACACCAGGTATACTCAGTTCCTGCCCTTACCTATATTTTCTTATCTTGGAAGGGGATTGCTGTCCCTCGCCATTTATCTCACAGCAGCTTATTTGTTTTTAAAGTTGCCCAGAAAGTGTGCAAATTAAACTTTTAACATCTACGTGTAGGAATCCCGTTCTGCTTCCAGAAGTGGAAGTGCTCACGGATCGGGGAAATCTGCAAGGCATACCCCTGCAAGGTCTCGCTCCAAGGAAGATTCCAGGCGTTCCAGATCAAAGTCCAGGTCCAGATCTGAATCTAGGTAAGAAAGACTGTCTTGAGATTTCCTCGTTACTCTTAGCTCTGAAATTGGTGCGTGTTTTGTAAACCAGGAAGTTAGAGACGGTTAGATTATTTGTTGGCCTATTAAATATTGGCACTAGAAGTGAACTTAAGTTCTGGGAGGCAAGACTAAAAGCGGTTAAGAGCCTGGGCTTTTGGAGTCAGGGTTCTCTATTTTTGTTGGTTTGGGCAGATTATATAACCTTTCAGCATTAGCTTCTTTATAAAAGGCAAATTAGAAATACAGTACCAGTTCTTCAGGGTGGTTGTGAGGATTTACTGAATGTAAGTAAATTGCTTATTAGTATGGCAAATAGACTGCAGAACACTGGCTTTCAGTAATTGCAATTCTTGATAAATAAGTATATACGTGGTGCGCTTTTTTTTTTTTTTTTAATGTTGGTGAAGAGTAGGCTATATATATACACATCCTGGTTTGCCTGGGACAATACCAGTTTATGCCTGTGGTCAGGCATAATTAACAGCACCCCTTTTCTTAAATGTGTCCTGGTTTCGATGACAACTTAGAGTCACTCTAGTTAGTCAAGAGCCACTCGATTTTTTTGTTTTTGTTTTTAACTGCTGGGGAATACTTGTGATTTTGTTACTGTATTAAGTTAATGATGGGCATAATGGGAGACAGAAAAGTAGAGAAATGGTTTTCTGAGGGGGAAAGATAGGCACAAGCCAACTTAGTAAAATACTGCATGCCTTGATTTGCAAAAGATAAGTAATGTGTCTTTAATTGGAAGAAATACTGGAGGAGAGCTTGTGGTTTTTAGAACGCTTCCTAGCAAAGTTGAAATGACTTAATAATTAGAGAAGAAAAGTATTGATCCTATTAAGTTGGTAACCATGTTAGCATATACCTGGATTGTTCCCTCTTTTGGAGTTTAACTTTAGAATAGATTAATAAACTTAAAGAAGATAGTATCTGTTGTCAATCGTAACCTTAGGGAGGTGTCTTTGTCTTGCAGGTCTAGATCCAGAAGAAGCTCCCGAAGGCATTATACCCGGTCACGGTCTCGCTCCCGCTCCCATAGAAGATCACGTAGCAGGTCTTACAGTCGAGATTATCGTAGACGGCACAGCCACAGCCATTCTCCCATGTCTACTCGCAGGCGTCATGTTGGGAATCGGGTAAGGCGAAAAACTGGTTTTGAAGCAGTGAATTGCCTAAATTTACTTTTTCTTAAAGTTAGAGCTGATTTTGACAATAGAGCTTTAGCAGTGGGTGCCTGAGTGAACTTTTTAGTGTTTTGAGACTGTCTTTTAAGTTAATCTTCATGAAGGGGTCTGCGTTTGGGCTACCTGTCATTTAAGCATAATACTGACACAGTGATGATGTAACTCCTTAGCCCATCAAAAGAAACTTCCCACTGTGCATTACTATACTGTACTATAGTATTAGCACATTAGTTCAAAATATAGTTGTATGCTAACGTTACTCTTTTTTTCCAGGCTGCATAAACCCAATTAGATGCTCTCCTAACTTTCTCATTTAATTTGAAGCTAATTTCTTTTTGGTGTTGTTAAGGTGTTTTTTACATTTCATGAAAGACTTCAAATGAGATATTTATTGTGATTTCATTGTATAATCCAAGTGGTTTAGGAGGAGGATGCGGGGGGACTTAATGTTTTTACAGTAGAGTAGAATTTTTCCCTAGTAAATTGTTAGTTTATGAAATAAATGGAATCTTTAGGTAAATTCATCACAGCATCTGGAATGTTATCAACATATGGTTCACTCTTTATTCTTTCCTCTGTCATCTTTTTTTGAGACAGGACCTCACTCTGTCACCCAGTCTGGAGCGCAGTGGTGCAATTTCAGCTTACTGCATCCTACCTTCCAGGCTTAAGCGATCCGCTCACCTCAGCCTCCTGGGTAGCTAGGACTACAGGCATGCACCATCACACCCAGTTACTTCTTGTATTTTTATAGACGTGGGGTCTCTGTGTTGCCCAGGCTAGTCTCAAAACTCTCCTGAGCATCAAGCAGTCCACCAGCCTTGGCCTCCCAGAGTGTTTGGATTACAAGCATGAGCCACTGCACCTGGCCAACTCTTGTTTCTTATGATTGCAAGCTGTTTATGACCTGTAAAATGGTTTGGTACACATCCCCTTGGGCTTCATTTATGTACATACACTTGTGCATTGTGTTTCTTGAAAAATCAACCCATACATGCTCATCAATTCAGAGCATTTTATTGAATGGAAAGTGTGTCAACATTAAAATTTTTTCTAGCTGATGGACTCTGTGGTTCCAGTTATCCTTGTGTGTCATGTTATGAATATGTGGATTTTTCTCAGAGTAAATTCATAGAAGGAAAGATGCAGGTTGCTTGTCACCAGCACGAGGGATTGTTTCCCCATTTAATTCTAAGGTTGAAATTTTTTCTTTTGCATTTTTCCTACCCATTCCCAAAAATGCTTATAGTACTTGCTGTAATTTTGTAATTTCCAAGTGGTATTTGGTCTAATTATTACGTAATTTTCTTGTTAGTGACATTTTGGCTAGTATATAGCTCCCTTTTTTAAAAACTTTGATTTTATGACAACTTTCCAAAGTTTAAAAAATTTTTTTTTCCCTAGGCAAATCCTGATCCTAACTGTTGTCTTGGAGTATTTGGGCTGAGCTTGTACACCACAGAAAGAGATCTAAGAGAAGTGTTCTCTAAATATGGTCCCATTGCCGATGTGTCTATTGTGTATGACCAGCAGTCTAGGCGTTCAAGAGGATTTGCCTTTGTATATTTTGAAAATGTAGATGATGCCAAGGAAGTAAGTAAAAGTCGACCTGTTCCTTTGTAAACCACCAGTTCTGTTGTTAACACCAAGTACCAGTGACCAGTTGCTAGGATAGGGACAAGGACAAGTCAATAATACTTCGAACTTTTTCTCCAGCCTCTTGTGGAGACTGAGATACCTGCACAATAACAGAAAATTTTGTATAACTTGGGGAAGTTGGTCCTACCACCTACTTTATTAGTTGCCACCTACTGGGGTCAACTATACCCCAATTCCACCAGGATATGTAGTCATTGTTTACATTGAGTTTACATTCTAGAGTCGAAAATAACCAAAAGCAAAGTTATGTTCCTTTTTTGGCAAGTGAATGATGTCATATTTGGATTTTGACTTGAGGCAGAATATAGGAGTCAAGATATGTGAGGCTAGATCCCATTTAAGAAATTCAGACTTCAGGTACAGAAAGGATGGTAGCTAAAGTCGTCTCCAAGTATAGAGAAGAGGAAAAACTGAGAAACACTTAATGACAAGCTCTCTGATAGTCAATGTTGAGATTAGGAATTGAGCTCCAGGTAAAATCACTTTAAGTAGGTCTTTATGGAAATTAAAAATTTTTTAAACAAATTTTTAAAGGGGTAACCTACTAATGGAACAATTAAAAGCTGAATGCAGCTGGTTACAATGAGTGACTTTGTGGAATTGTAAGATTTGGAGAGACCTCTTAAAATACACAGCTTCATTTTAGGAAAAATTGAGATGCCAAAGGTGTAAGTAGGATTCGCTTGAGTTCACCCATTTCCTAATTAAATTTTTGCAGTAGGGTCACAGCTCTCAGAAAATAGCATAAATTTTATCTTAATCTCTAGTGCCAGAAACTCTCTGGGGCATAAACACTAGCTTGAACATCTGAACTGGAAGATAGCATAGTATTGGAATTAGAAATTTTAATTCTATTTAGGTAAAAGGATGTTTCCTCAAATTATGAATAAACTTTAATGTGTTCGAAATGGGTTATTTTTATTTTTTAAATGTATGCTGTTAATACGGACTCTGGGAAAAGGAACTATATGTACTTAAGACTTTGCTTCAGTCTTAGCTTTTGGTTTCCAGAGAAGGGCTAAGAAAACTTCAAGGGTTAAATAATATGTTCAGGTTTCATGAATCATAGGATCTCAGTCACAACTATTTAACTCTGCTGTTTTAACCCAACAGCAGCCAGATAAATGAGTGGGGCCCTATTCCAATAAAAGATTATTTTGGGGCACTGGAATTTGGAATCCGTGTGTTTCTTCACTTGTCATGAAATACTATTTTTTCCCCCTAGTTATTTAAATTCTTAGCTTATGGGTTATACAGAGACAGCCAGCTGGCCAGATTTGACCTACAGGCTGTAATTTGCCAATTGTGTGCTGCTTTGGAGCTGGAAATACTGTCAGGATTATAGTTAGGTAAAATAATTGCTTCACGTTTTTATGAGTAGCTTTTACAAATGAACATTTAGTGGAGGGAACAACACATTGTAAGTTGTAGACCTTATGTTCTGGCTAACATGAAGATAACTTAATGCACCTAACTGAGGTGTGCAGTGGGACCTTACTCAGCCATGGGATAATTAGTGGCTTTGTTCAGGATGTATATAACAATTTATTTATCTTTTGAAGGCTAAAGAACGTGCCAATGGAATGGAACTTGATGGGCGTAGGATCAGAGTTGATTTCTCTATAACAAAAAGACCCCATACACCAACACCAGGAATTTACATGGGGAGACCTACTTAGTAAGTTTATTTTCAAAATAAATATAATTGGTAATTGTTCACTTATCAAAGAAACACATTAGTGGAAAGTCTTCAGCACTTCGATTTGTGCCATAAACGTGACTGTTGATTGATTTAAGTTTAACTATTACAGGTAAAACTGTAAACCTTAGTCAAGTGCACTTTTAAATTTTCTTTTTTGTTTTTGTTGTTGTTTGATTTTGTTTTTGTTTCGTTTTGAGACGGAGTCTCGCTCTGTTGCCCAGGCTGGAGTGCAGTGGCACAATCTCGGTTCACTGTAGCCTTCGCCTCCCGGATCCAAGTGGTTCTCCTGCCTCAGCCTCCCGAGTAGCTGGGACTACAGGCACCTGTCACCATGCCCTGCTAATTTTTTGTATTTTTAGTAGAGACAGGTTTTCACTATGTTAGCCAGGATGTTCTCAATCTCCTGACCTTGTGATCTGCCCTTCTCGGCCTCCCAAAGTGCTGGGATTATAGGTGTGAGTCACTGCGCCCAGCCTAAATTTTCTTAAATAGAGCAAAGTGATACTGTTTTTCTTTCCTCTTAGAAATATGTGGGATATGCAAATTGACATCTGGCAGGATCTGTGTGCCTCCTTAACCAAAGATTTTTAAAAATAGGTTTATGTAGAAACAGGGGAAAGGGCAATGTTTGTTCAATATAGGTGAGAATTTTAACAGGAATAATGTTTATTTTCCAGTTAATGTGTCAGAAAAGACCTACTAGCAGATATAAAAAGTCATGTCTTTTTTTCTTTATAGTGGCAGCTCTCGCCGTCGGGATTATTATGACAGAGGATATGATCGGGGCTATGATGATCGGGACTACTATAGCAGATCATACAGGTAAGTTATGAGGTAGAAAGGTCAACGTCTGAATCTCAGTGTACAGAGCAGCACTATGCTTAAGTTTTAGCCCTTGGTAAAAGCTTTGCTTTAGTACTTTTACTCTAGAAATGCAGAGCAGAAGCGTAAATCAGATTTTAAGGTTCTGTGTCTTTTAATCAATTTAATGTGTAATTGGACTTCTGTTCAAATATTCTAGAATATAAATGGGATTTAGATGATAACTTATAATGTTAATAATAAAATGTTGTATTCTTTTTAAACATTGAATGAGGCTGGGCACAGTGGCTCACATCTGTAATCCCAATACTTTGGGAGGCCAAGGCAGGCAGATAACCTGAGGTCCAGCCTGGCCAACATGGTGAACCCCGTCTCTACTAAAAATACAAAAATTAGCTGGGCATGGTGGTGCATGCCTGTAGTCCCAGCTACTCGGAAGGCTGAGGCAGATGAATTGCTAGAACCCGGGAGACAGGTTGCAGTGAATTGAGATTGCACCACTGCACTCCACTCTGGGCAACAGAGCGAGACTCTCTCCTAAAAAAAAAAAAAAAAAAAAGTAATGAAAGCAGAATTATAGGCTGAGACGGGGGGATTGCTTGAGCCCCGGAATTTGAGACTGACCTGGGCAGCATGGGGAGACCCCATCTGTAAAAAAATTGAGGCAGGAATCTGGGGAGATTGAAGCTGCAGTGAGCCAGGTACACTCCCATCTGAGTCTCCTCCCACCAGAGCAAGACCCCACCTTAAAAATTTTAAAAAAAAAAAATTATAGCCTCTGTCTTAGTCTTGTAAAAGCAAATTTCATAAGCCATTTTGGAAAGCCACCACTTTTCAGGCAGTTTCTTGGAATCTAATGCATGCATCGTACACTTAGAGGGCAGGTAAAACTGATGCCTTGAAAGAGTCCAGAGAATAATTTTACGACATTAATTTAGTATGACAAGGGTAAGTCGCTTTTTATTGTTGCCAAAAATTTGGTATTTCGGGGTTTGGGTAGGGAAATGTCAATCATATTTTAAAAATAAAGATACGTTTGAGAATACTTCCAAAGATAAGAATGAAGTAAAATCGTGACATTTTGGTCCTCCCTTGCTTTGTCAAAATGTGTAATTTGACAAGTCAAATAATACAGTTAGTATTGACCACTGTTGTCATTGATAATGGTATTGAGGTATGGATGTCTTTTTTGTGGATTATTTGGTAATGTTTAAGAAGTTAACAGTTGTTAATCATTGTCTGAAAGTGAGTCTGTAAGTGTATTCTTGTTCAGCATTTTATCACCCATGAAAACCCTTTTTTATTTAAAGCATCACTGTTGAATGGTACTGAAGGTACTGATTTGTTGAGACTGAGATTAAGCTGTTTGTTTGGTTTTTTTTTTTTTTTTTTTTTTGAAGAGCATTTACTTAGGAATGTTCTGTGTTCTAATACTGCTTGTTTCAGCCACCAGAGAGAACCCTATGCAGGTTTCTAAAAAGAGTGGCAAATCACTTGACCTGCAAGAAACATCTCATTCATGCTGTATGAAAGTTTTTATTTTACTAAATGAATGACATCATTTTTTAAAACTTAAAAACGGAATGCCTGTTGCCTTTCTGTCTTCACAGAGGAGGAGGTGGCGGAGGAGGAGGATGGAGAGCTGCTCAAGACAGGGATCAGATTTATAGGTACGCCAGGAGAGGACTTAGCATCTGTACAACAGTAGAAAGTTTCACATAAAGATGTTTGCCTACTGATGTTTTGGTAAATTATAAGTGGAATACCCAAAATCATACTGTTTGAAGTTCATGAAAATATTCTAACGGAAACTAAATGACTACGTAAAATCTTTGTATATTTATAAAAATTAATTGGGTTTACAATGGGTTATTATTTAGTGGTACCATTTTATACCTTGATGAGGTACAGTGATGTTAAAGTGACTTTAACTTTAAAGTGAAGTTAAAGTCACTGATAATAACTCATTTTTTTGTCATTATGTTCTTGTATTACATTTTATTTGCTTTTTGTAAGCATCTAATAACACATGAACAGCTTTTTTTACACAAAGCTAAATCCTGAAGTACTTGTGGAATTAGTTTTGGGTATTCATGAGGGTGCTGTTGGAATTATTGAATGGTATGGGAATTTTCTCTCATTTTTATTTTTAATTTTTGGAGACAGAACAACACTGTTGCCTAGGCTGGAGTACAGTGGAGCAATTTCAGCTCACTGCAGTCTCTGCCTCCCAAGTAGCTGGGATTACAAGCGTGCACCACCACACACACATAGCTAATTTTTTTGTATTGTAGTAGAGACAGGTTTTCACCATGTTGGCCAGGCTGGTCAAACTCCTGGCCTCAAGTGATCCTCCTGCCTTGGCCTCCAAAGTGCTGGGATTACAGGCGTGAGCCACACACCCAGCCAGGAATTTTCTTTTACCTCTCTTAATCATACTTCACAAAATTTAAGAGATAAGCAGATTAAAATATAGCAAGGATTATTTGACCTGGAAGTTATTTGGTACTTGGGCCTGATAATGTACTTCATTCTCAAGACTTAAACAGACATCAAAGGTTCATGCAGCATTTCCTTTTTTGGGAACTGATAAAAGGGCAGTATTTATAGTCATAAATTTATATGTTTGGTCTAATTATTGAGACTTAGACAATCTTGACATTTGTTTATAGAAGGCGGTCACCTTCTCCTTACTATAGTCGTGGAGGATACAGATCACGTTCCAGATCTCGATCATATTCACCTCGTAAGTTTTTATCTTAATGATTGTTTATATTGTTGTAGTATGGCTTGCTCTGGTGACAAAATACACCAAGTAACTATTCCCTTTTGCAGATAATGGATTGCTTTCAGGTAGTTTTATCTATACCTGTGATTCTGCACACACCCTGAATGGTTTTTTGGTTCAAGAAAGTTTATGGAAACAACCCTTAGAATCCTATTATTTTTTAAGAAGGAAAAATTGGAGAGCCTCCTGAGCCAGAGTAGGCTCAGAGACTCCTGTTGTTTCTAACTGAAATAGTAACTTTAGTAGCTTTTCAAGAGTCCTTAAAAAATTTTGGACAGCACAGAAACATGGATTACTTTTAGCTCTCAGATTGAGTTATACTTCCCAGCAATTTGTGTTATGCAACATTGCTATCTCATTTCTAGTGTAATCCTTACATGGAAGTCTTTCTCTGTTTGGGGGTGGAGGGGTCTGTCTGGTACATAGGAATTTCTTAATGGCAGAATATTCTGAAATTCTCAGCATTAAAGTATATTTGATAATTAGTTCACTTAATATTAAAGCATGTTCATTCTTTTCTTCCTAGGTCGCTATTAAAGCATGAAGACTTTCTGAAACCTGCCCTAGAGCTGGGATATTGTTTGTGGACAATATTTTTTATTGTCTCTTGTTTAAAAAGTGAACAGTGCCTAGTGAAGTTAGGTGACTTTTACACCTTTTATGATGACTACTTTTGGTGGAGTTGAAATGCTGTTTTCATTCTGCATTTGTGTAGTTCGGTGCTTTGTTCAAAGTTAAGTGTTTTCAGAAAAGTATGTTTTGCATGTATTTTTTTACAGTCTAAATTTTGACTGCTGAGAAGTTTCTATTGTACAAAACTTCATTTAAAAGGTTTTTCTACTGAATCCAGGGTATTCTGAAGATCAAAGCCTGTGTAAAATGCTACCAAATGGCAAAAAGCAACAATAAACAGTTTGATTTTTACTTTTCTTTCTAACATATCAATGCTTAGCAGAACTATTCAGATTAAGTTGTCAGTGGTAAATTTAAAGACAAATGCCCATTTTCCTCCAGTCCATGAAACATACCATACTTATATAAGTGCAACTAAATGTTAAAAATTATGCTCTGTAACTCTGTACTGCTAGTATTAGAACTAAAAACCTTAAAATACAGCCAGTGCTTAATGCTTATATAAATGTGGATTTGTCAGCTTTTATGTAATCTGTAATATGTATAGCAGGAAATAAGAAACGAAGAGTTACACAGTGTATGCCTTAAAAGGCTGTTTCTTAAAAAGCTGTTACAAGGGGATAATGGTATTTCAACTAGTTATCAGCAAGTGACAATACATTCCACCACAAATATACTCTTGTTCTTCTAGCTTTTAGACTATATGAAAAAACTGGGTGCTTCAGAGTACATGATAAGAGAAGGGAACACTACACCTGTGTCATGGATGAACTGAAGACTTTGCCTGTTCATTTTTTAAATATTATTTTCAGGTCCTTTGCTTACCAAAGGAGGCCCAATTTCACTCAAATGTTTTGAGAACTGTGTTTAAATAAACGCAAATGGAAAGAAAAATGCTGGTGCAGCTGTTTACAAAGAAGTGTTCTTGTTCTATTAGAGTTCTTTTGTAGTTAATTGTTAGGGCAATGTGTTCTTTGGACTGAGATGTATCTTTGCTATTTTGGGGAGGGGGAGATGAATTTCTGTTTCTGTTCCTGAAAAATTCAGAGGGATATCCATTTGGGGATGGAGTTATAGTAAATAACTAGACTGAGGGTACTTGAAATACATGTTCTTAGTTTTCTTTTGTATTTAAGTAATTTTCATGACCATTGCAGAGATGTTGCTATATGTAGATTCTTTTGTTACCTTGCTAACCTTTATCGCATTTAGATACTAGTACATTTCAGGTACTTTGAGAAGCACTTTATATACAATCTTTAGCAATGAAATGATGTAACTTAGTTCAAATAGCTGTTTAGGTGGCAATGCCACGATCTGAACCTAGGTGATGTTAGTCCATAGTTCTGTTAATTGTGATGTCATTCAGCCTCAAATCTGGGTACCTGGGTGATGGAAAATACCAGTAATGGAGCATAGGCGGTATTGGCAGGTCTTAATTTGTAAAACTTACTGTCCAGGGTGTTGATAATCTCCAACATAACCCTCAGTTTCTGTCTTAAAGCCTGAGTTTTAGCCCTTTCGTCGTGTAGCTGTCCTTTATCCTGCTGGTTAAAAGTTTCCTTTTTTAGGCTAGTCTGAGTTTTTTTTCTGGGTTTTAGATTTGGAAGAATTTTAACTATTTGACATGGCCATGAAGAGTGTTAACAGGCAAAAGACCTTGAGGAAAACTTGGAATTTTACCAGGTTGGGACAGACTGAAAAGTAGTAGTAGTGGTACACTACACAAAGTGGTAGTCTTTTGATGTGCTGTAATGCTAGTCACCAGTTTCATGAAAGGCAGCAGTTGAATCAGACCAAAAAAAAAAAACTATGGGAAAGGATAAATTTGAGTCTTAAAGTTCTTGCCTCAAGGCAAAGGGACTTGGAGGCTTTTATATGCCAGTACAAACAATCCATTGCTTATAGCTGTAGGGCTGAGACTACTAAAACCAAATGCAAAGTTCATTTGGAAGATTGCTCAGTTAAATAGTTTCATACTGTAAGGCCCTTGTGAAACTTCTCAGGAAATAAACAAGAGTCTCAACAAGTGTAAACAAGGCTGTGTCAAAAGATTTGTAGACCTGGGAGCAGGGATTTCCAACCTCCTGGCCGTGAATTGCCTGAGCTCCGCCTCCTGTCAGATCAGCAACAGCAGTAGATTTTCATAGCAAGAACCCTATTGTGAAGTGCTCATGTGAGGGATCTAGGTTGCGCATTTCCTTATGGAAATCTAACTACATGTTAGAGAATGCTCAAGCTCTACAATGTTTACACTGTTGCCCCTACGTAAGGGATATATGCCTTAGGATGAAACTAATAGCTCTTAGCCCTCTTACTCCATTGACTAGGATTCCAATTCTGCAAGGCCCAGGAAGAGAAATTGAGAATTAGAAGTTTCACCCAGAAGAAATAAAAGGATTTGGTTTGCATTATTATCAAAATTTCTGTAAATTCGACGGAAATTTTGAAGATGGATTAGGCTGGGTTTGTTATTAGCAGTGGACACACCACCGGTATTCAGCATGCCATCTCAGTGGTTTTTATGTGATTGACTCTTGTAGGATTGGACTTAATGCTATGTAAGGGGTTATTGTATATAGTATAAAGGATTATATATAATCTTTTATATATAATGTAAAGACTTGACAAGAATATTGGATTGGTTCTATTCCACTCATTCTGCCCCTTACAAGACAAGACCCAAAATAATCCTTTTTCCCCATGAGTAATCAGTTGATGAAGTTAAGAAAACTGTTTCAAGAGTTATACTGCCCTGGCAAGAGGAGATGAACTGAAATGGGATTCCACGTTTGTAGAGACCAGGTAATCACTGTTTTTTGGTGTGTGGGGGGTTTGGTTTGGTTGGTTGGTTTGTGTGTGTGTGTGTGTGTTTTGAGACATAGTTTCACTCTTGCCCAGGTTGGAGTACAATGGCAGGATTTCAGCTCACTGCAACCTCTACCTCCCAGGTTCAAGTGATTCTCCTGCCTCAGCCTCCCAAGTAGCTGGGATTACAGACACGCACCACCACGCCCAGCTAATTTTTGTATTTTTAGTAGAGACGATTTCACCACATTGGTCAGGCTGGTCTCAAACTCCTGACCTAGGGTGATCCACCCACCTCGGCCTCCCAAAGTGCTGAGGTTACAGGCATGAGCTACCCACACCCAGCCAAGACCAGGTAATCACTGTTAACCCCTAGAAACTGAAGTTGGCAGGGTTAATAATTAAAAGGAGCAAGATACAATTAGTGTGTGAAAGGATCTGGTGGGAATTTCAAGCTGTAGTTAACTAGATACTAGGTTCAGGCTGGGCGCAGTGGCTCACGCCTGTAATCCCAATACTTCGGGAGGCCAAGGCGGGTGGATCACCTGAGGTCAGGAGTTCGAGACCAGCCTGGCCAACATGGCGAAACCCCGTCTCTACTAGAAATACAAAAATTAGCCTGGTGTGGTGGCAGATGCCTGTAATCTCAGCTACTTGGGAGGGTGAGGCAGGAGAATCGCTTGAACCTGGGAGGCAGAGATTGCGGTGAGCTGAGATTGTGTCATTGCCCTCCAGCCTGGGCAACAAGAGTGATACTCCATCCCAAAAAAACTAGGTATTGCATTCACAGAAATAAAAACACACTAGTCTTTTGCCAAAGACACCTGCAACTATTGAATTGTGTTGTAGAAAGATAAATACTCAAACTTAACCAGAAATGATAGTTGACCAACATCATGGGTTTGAACTGTGTGGGTCTCCTTACAGGAATTTTCTTCTGCCTCTGCCACCCTTGAGGCAGCAAGACCGGCACCCCCACTCCCTCAGCCTACTCAATTTGAAGATGATGGAGGATGAAGACTTCTGATCCACTTTATGTAGAAAATAAGGATTATAAGAACAGATACACAATATATACACAAGTTTTGTGTTACATAGGTTATTGGTAAAACTTCTGACCAACAGACTGTTCAGGGGGAATCAAAGGTTGTGCGCAGCTAGGTACAGAGGATTACATGAGAACAAAGACTAGGACCTCGAGAAAAAACCTTGCTCATTGTCTTCATCTGGAGAAATAGGCATGAGTTTACAGGTATCTTCTGAACAGATCATTATCTTAACCGTCTTTGTGGTTAAAGGGTTTGAGCAGCAGAATAGATTGGTAACAAAGCAAAGGCAATGAACATATCAACATGGATATCCGCTCAAGTTTAAACATTATTGCCAGCACTAGCAATAATGTGAAACACTTTGATGGAAATAACTGCAATATTAAGTTTGCCTGTGAAGGGGGGACAGTAATTTTCACTGAAAATAACATTCTGGATTTGGTTTCTTGTCATTCCTTTATGGGACCTTATATCCATACCTGTATTGTACTATGTGACTTGGCTTCTGTACCAGAGTTCACTGGAGAAAACAATTTCTATATAGTTGATACCAACTATACATACTGTTTGTATTTATTTTGAGAGAGGGTCTCACTGTGTACCCCAGGCTGGAGTACAGTAGTGTGATCGCAGCTGAACTGCAGGCTTGAACTGGGCTCAAGTGATCCTCCCATTTCAGTCTCCAAAGTAGGGAACTACAGGTCCAGTTATTTTTTGTGTTTGTTTTTTTTGAGAGGGAATTGTGCTCTGTTACCCAGGCTCGAGTGCAGTGATATGATCTCAGCTCACTGCAACCTGTCTCGGGTTCAAGCGATTCTCCTGCCTCAGCCACCGAAGTAGCTGGGATTACAGGTGCCTGCCACCACACTAATTTTTGTATTTTTAGTAGAGACGGGGTTTCACAGTGTTGCCAGGCTCATCTCAAACTACTGACCTCGTGATCCGCCTGCCTTGGCCTCCCAAAGTGCCAGGATTACAGGCGTAAGCCACCGTCTCCTGGCCCAAGTTCAGCTAATTTTAAGAGAGAGGGGTCTGGCTCAAGCCTGTAATCCCAGCACTTTGGGAGGCCGAGGCGGGCGGATCACGAGGTCAGGAGATCGAGACCACAGTGAAACCCCGTCTCTACTAAAAATACAAAAATTAGCCGGGCGGTGGCGGGCGCCTGTAGTCCAGCTACTCAGGAGGCTGAGGCAGGAGATGCGGGACCGGGAGCGGAGCTTGCAGTGAGCCGAGATCGCGCCACTGCACTCAGCCTGGGCAAGCGTGAGACTCCGTCTCAAAAAAAAAAAAAAAAAAAAGAGTGGTCGCATTATGTTGCCCAGGCTGATCTCAATCCTCCCACCTTGGCCTCTGTAAAGTGTTGGGATTATAGGCGTGAGCCACTGCATCTGGCCAGGTTCTCTGTTTTTAAATCCTAAACTGAATCGTAAGGTGTATGAACGTTTTTAAAGTTCTTACTTTAAAGTAGAAAGTTTAAAGACTCCATCAAAAAAAAAAAAAAAAAAAAAAAAGGAATGAGGAAATCCCTAATTTTACTTGGGGAGATAGCAAAATTAGTGGCAAAGGGCATAGAAAGGAATCGATAATCCCCCACACCAAGCTTTCCATGCTGATACTGAACATGTGTCATTTTTTCTGCTGCTCAGCTCCCTGGCATTAAGACTGCCTTTAGAAAGTTATCCATTGAATGAGTCTTGATGGGAGGCAGAGCCCACTTTAACACCACAAATGCTGAAAATCCCAAATGCTTGTGCACCCAGGCTCTTGCATCTACAGCATATGCATGTGTATAGGACCTAGGCTTGGTCAATCAGGTGTATCTAAACTAAATCAGTAATTAGTGACTCAAGAAGTAGGAACAATGGAAAATGTGTTTAAGTGGATGATAAGGATGTCTCAGAAATGGCAGCAACATTGGGGGGAGCGATGAAGAAGGGTAGTTCTAGCTCGAATGGTCAAGTTTCTTGTCTGCTACCAGTGGCAGCTGTGTGACATCCTGTGGTGTCCAGGGTTTGGCAGTGGCTGTGACTTCACTGAGCTTTGTGGTGTGACTCTAGCTATTAAGCTTCCTTCTATGCTTGTTTTCCAAGCCTGGTTCTCCCCTCTCCCTGCAGTCTTTCAACTACCCAGTGTTCTTAAAAAAAAAAAAAAATTCTGCTCAAATCAGCTGGCATTGTTTCTTATCACTTGTAACCAGTAATCCCGATACAATATTCCTTCCCTATTATTATGCCTAATTGGTAGCCATCCCTCTAATTATCATGTCCCCTCCATTCTCCACCGAGTGGTAGAAGTGAATGTCTTAGAAGGTACATCAGATCACGTGATATTTTGTTTTCAGTTGCATCTTGCACTTAGATACAAATCTTAGTAGTCTACCGGGACCTCAATTATCCAGCCCACCTCACAACCTCCCTCCAGCCTCATCTTGCAACTTTCTTTTCCTTTGACCGCTGGAAGCAGTGCTTCCTCAGCTTTAGTAACCTAGAGTAGAAAAGTCCCAGCAAGGGCCGGGCAGGGTGACTCACGCCTGTAGTCCCAGCACTTTGGGAGGCTGAGGCAGGTGGATCAC